CCGATCAAACAGAATAAAACGGTACAGCAGGGGGCCAACCCTATACAGGGCCGTCGAAGCCCCTACTGGTACCGGACTAAAGGCCAAAATAACCTAAGCAAAAGAAAAATCGAAAACAGGACTACCGGTCCCGCCAGGCCAAAAACCTCAAGAAAAAAGTAAGAAAAAGTTAACAAAAATACCACATGGCAGGCTGGAACGTCCGCTGCAGGCCGCAGCGACAAGACAAGTGCGCACCACGCACGATGGAGCAAATGAAGCAGGTGGAAAGCGGCGTCCAAACGAGGTTGGAAAGGAACGCGTTAACGTGCTGAAAGCCAGCCTATTTATAGGCGGACGACAGCACCACAAATTAACATAATTAACTCGCTAAAAGAATCCCAAAATATATTAACAAAAGATCCTTCAACTAAAGTCTGTAAGAAAACAAAGAGAAGAAATAGATAAAAATCATAATGTGCCCGAAGCACATAACACATGTCATCTCAAGGCATTTTACAGTTCACCAGATCATAGAGTCAAATTGATTCAAAGTTTTCTATCTATGAAAAACCAGTTAATTGCATCGACTCAGTGACTCGAATGCAATCCCTCACACTAAGCATGCTGGTAGCAACAGTGGAGAGGAAAAACTCCCTTTAACAGGAAGAAACCTCCAGCTGAACCAGGCTCAGTGTGTTTCAGTTAAATAACATGCTGCTGGCATTTTGCACATCTCTGATGTTGCTGCTACTTTCAAATATCCATTACTGCAAAAATGTCCATAGCTGTATATTGGTTATTTATTCTCCAGGTGCGCAGTTTTAATAGTTAAAAAAAAAAATACATTACAATATTTTATTGTTTATCTTTTAACTCTTCACTATTATGTTATTCTTATAAATTTTTCTAAGATCTACTGTTAGGACTCCAGTCTGTGTGGTCTGTGTTTTTGTGTGTTTGTCTTCCTTCCTCCACCAGGCGGCGCCTGGTTCTGATTCTCCTCCTCACACACCTGCGGAGGGTTACCTCGTTAACGGAGTGCTCTTAAGCTGCTGACTGCCACTACCTCAACGCCAGAGTGTTTGGCAGTTTTGGGTACTCTAGCCAAGTTGAGTTTTGCTGAGTCAAACTGAGTTTTTGTCAACCTGAGTATTAACCTTGTTGTTTTGTTTTTGCCTCTCGGCAGGAAGTCATCTTGCACACTGGATTTTTGGACCTTCTCTCCCTGGAAGAATCTACTGAGCTTCAAACTGAACTGGGGATACAATCCGGAGGTTTTGGATCCACTTTCCCCCCCGAGGAATCGTTTGAGCTTCGCACTGAGCAAGGGATTCATCTGCACCACAGTCCGTTCAAGTACTGCAGGAAAACTGAGTGGCAGTCAGTCTTTCTCCGTTCATCTACAAGCAACCGCATTCTGGGTAACCCTGTCCGCCCTCCACCATATGAGACACACCGGAACACATTCCTCACCTACTGGAGTCTTAGAGTCAACCAATTCTCTGGAAAAGGAGTCTGCCTACCTTTCTTTCTCTTCAAGTTCTAAAATCAATTTCCCCACTGAACCTGAACTAACCGCAGTGTCTTCCCCTCACCTTTCAGTTCCGGTTGAGCAGTCAGTGTTCAGAGAAACACTGGAATCTCCACAAAACTTCTCAATAAAACCTGTTAAACTTTTTCCCTTGTCTCTCTGGACTGGATTATCTGTATGTGGGTCCGAACTCTAGACAATATCATGACATCCACATTTGTGTGACCATTTTTTCTATAACCTTTTTGCTGCTGTAAACACCAGAATTTCCCCAATGTGGGACAATAAATGGATTTTCTATTCTATACTGGATTTTGCCAAATTAGTGGAGCGGCTAGTTTAGGAAATATTTATAACATCAGTTTTAACATCTTTGTGAGCTAACTTGTTGTAATATGGGGAAATCTGATTCAGTTGGGCACGGATAGTAAACTTTGGATGCACAAGTTTTATGTAGGTTCTTAGTTTTTCACTTTAGCAGCATTGTTAGTTGGTTAGTAGCTGATTATTAAACCCAAAACTGATCTTAAACCAAAAAAAAAAAAAAAAAACATCAGAATAGATGAATTAAACATTTAGAAAACATGTCTAGAAGTCTGCGAACATAAATAGTGGTTTGAAGTAGTTGCTATGGTTACAATAGGTGGTTAGGAATGGGTGGAGCAGAATGGAGAAATATCTGCTGCTTCTCCATGAGTTCATTTTGACGTTTTAAGTTTCACGCTTTGCACGTGTCTCCACTGCCTTGATTCCCATCTACATTCCCTGCCAGTGGTTTTAGCCACTCTTGGATGGATAGCCTATTTTTCTTTGAATTTAAACTTCCCCATGTTGTCCAGGTAAAAAGTTAGTGACACATCACCCCAAAACATCGTTTTTATTGGTTCCACGATCGGGACGGAACCAATAATGGTTACAGCGAGCAGTTCGGTAAATGGAAGGAAAATATTGCCAATTATTTGAATGTTTGATATGGATTACAAAAATAAAGTCCTATTTATGATGTGGTAACAATTTTAAGACCTAAGAAAGACTGGTTTAAGACATTTTAATACCAATTAGGGCCTTGAAGACTTTTTAAGGATCTTCAGGAACCTTGTTTAACTCTTTGCGCTCTATATAAGCTACTGGGACCAGAATTCCCCTTAAGGAGTAATCCCAAGGGATAAATCAAGTTGAGAATAAGTCTGCAATTCCTTCAGTATCAAACGATTAATAAGAAAAATAAATAATAATTGATATTTTCGCATATCCTTTCCTTTATTTGACTGTAAAACCTCCTTAAAGAAAAGAGACAAAGTAAGTAATAACAAAACATACCCAACAAAGATCGTCAAAAATTACCTGATAGTTCCTTTTTCAAAACTAGTGCAGTTTTGGACAGTGACACTCAAGACCCGGTGTTCCTTTCTCCTCAACCCTAGAAACTCTACAGCTAAAAGCCAGGTGTACCCTTTTTTACTGTATTGATTGTATGGTATAGTTGAAGCAATATCCAGAGTTTGCATCATATCAGTCAAACTTGATGATAATGCAGTCTAATGCACCTGATAAAAATATGTAAAGGAGAAAAAAACTATTTCACACAGGCTTTATTACTCTGGAATTTATTTAACGGTACAAATGAAACAAGGAGGAAATGATTTGGCAGGCGACTGGCGACCTGTCCAGGGCGTACCCCGCCTCTCGACCATAGACCGCTTCAGACAGGCGCCAGCACCCCTCAACTTGGGATAAGTGTGATGGAAAATGGATGGATTTGTCAGGCAAACGATTCAAACAATATTCTCCGTAAAACAATTCATTGAACTTGAGTGAGCAAACCATTTTGTTACGGCTGGATTACTTCAGCTTTATATTAGCCCATTTCTAGGTACATGAGCTGGACGGATTTCACAGGCCAGACTACAAATTCAAAACTTGACCTTTAAAACCAGAAAAAAAAAACAAAAAAACACAGAAGCCAATAGGTTTAATTTATGGCATTTATGTAGTTAAGTGTGCACAGATACTAATTGACCTTTGCTTGGCTTGTTAACCTTGGCTGGAAAATGAAAAAAAAAAAGACAAAAAGGAGACAATTTCTCAGAATTACAAAAATGAAAATTAATTATGTGCATGAAAGGTGCTTTCTATTTAAAGATTTAGATTGGTTATATATTCCTTGTGATATTCTGTAATTAGTGCGGACATAAAAGCTATAAATAGGGACTAACTCTGAATGCCTATGATCTTCTGTGGGTGTTTAAAAACCTCCAGTTCCTACATGAGATACAACATGACACAATACAGTTAGACATCAATCATCCATAAAAAGGAATATCATGACTTTTCCTTCTTTCTTAGTTGCAGACCCCTGACAAAAGGATGCCTTACCATTGAAACTTGTTCCTTTTTAACACATTATAATCACAAACTTATATGTATTTTATTGACATTTTATGTTAGACCACCATTGTATGACAGTGAAGAAGGAAAACTGAACCTTTTTCTGTTAAAACCATTTCTATATTATATATAAATAAAGTGTGGCTTACAGTTAAATTCACCCTCTTTACTCTCAAACCCCTAAATAAACTCCTGAGGATCCATTTCCTTTCTATGTGTACATATATATCAAAGTGCTTTGGTCAAATGAGTGGGGAAAAGGGGGAAAATTGACTGAGATTCCTCTGTTTATCAGAACAAAACCCCTAAAAAAATAGAAACAGAATAGAGTGGTATTAAATAAATGATGTGTAATAATGGCCTAGTCAAAGTTCACGGTCTCTCCTAATCCACTAATTGAATGGGGCTTAACAAAGTGTTAATTTAAGGTCTTCAAACAAATTTTCACACTTTTTAGATATTTATTTGTAAAAAAAAACAAAAAAACTAGGGATGCAACTAATGATAATTTAACAAATTGATTATTAATTTTCTTAATTAATCGATTAAAAATCGAAAAGGTTGCTTAAAGAAGATTTTTATGAAATCGAACCAGGTGAAACTAATGTTTCCACTTGAGGAGTTCTTGATAGAACTTATTGAGAGAAGAAAACATTTTTTACCTGAAATGCAAAATGTTTATATATATATTTTACAATATTGATATAATTAGTGCACTAAGTGGGTCGCTCTGTAGGCTAAAGGCATGTTCTACAGTAATCGATTACTAAATTTGTTGACGATTATTTCAAAAATAAATTAATTTGATTAATTGTTTCAGCCCTGAAACAAACAAAAAACATTAAAACTGAACTTTTTTGGGTCTCAGTTGGTCACATGAGATATCAATAAAATACGCTGAGGTTGTAGTTTTCATGGCACTTTAAAATGGAGGGATTCCTTGAAAGGAGGTACTGTGTTCACTAAAGAAAGGTTGACTCTCCTAAATAAAATGATATATTAAACTTAAATCTTGTAGAAGTCATAGTCCTGTCTGAGCGCCTACAGGGTATTAGGAGCGCGGAGTGTTAAGTGCACCATGATCCAGCTGCAGGCAGTGTTCTTTATTTGCAGATCTGAAAATGAAGATTCCTTCATAAGGCGTTTATTTATTTCGTCACAGTGAAAATTGTCCATAGCTTCAAACTAAATCTGTTTTTCTTTCAAACAGAGCTTTCCTTCATTGGTTGCATATTCATAGATAAGAGTTTGATTGTTGCAGAACTTTGGCAAAGGTTCGTGGCGGTTCTGATAGTCAGGTTGCTGTCAGGATTCAGTCGGAGTCCTCGCCAGCGGTGGCGGCCTCCAAAGCGGCCAGAGCCTCCGCCACCATTGAGTCTGTGACGCTCTGCACCTCCGCCTGTTCTTTCGCCTCCTCCTCTCCGTCCTCGCTCTTGGTCACTGAGATGCCGCTCTCCTCTGTGGAATTGTCCAGCGTCTTTGGCAGCGTGAGGTCGTCCCTCGTGCCGCCTGAAGATAAACTGGCGGTGCTGGTGTGGATGTCCACGGACAAAACGCTCCCCTCGTCCCCAGTGTCCCAGAGGTGCTCTGGTGTCCCTCCTACGCCTTCGTCGATCTCGTCAAACGACGAGCTCCTACCTGCGATGTCGCAGGTGGTGATGGCGCTGTCCCAGCCTTTGGTCGTAGCTTCGTAGCTCCGGTGGCTCTCGTACTGCTGTATGTTGGGGTAAATAGGCACCTGGCTCGCATCGATGTCCATCCATCCTGACCCTACGACCTCTGGCTGAATGATGTAAAGCCCCCCGTCTGTAGGGGGTGCCCTTGCGTGGTGTTGCAGCTCGTTGGCGAGTGACGGCGCGGAGTGCAGCCTTTGGTTGACCTGGTTGTTGTCAAACTCTAGCTTGAGCGTGCTGTCGTTGGACTTGCTGTAGCCCAGGTTATGGAAGCCCTGCTTCTGTTCGCTGTGGTCCCCCTGTGGGTCTCCGCCCCGGTGGTGTTGCGCCTGGTAGAGGGAGCTGCCTGCAGAGTCGGTTTTGTGCACATCCGACGCCGTCGATGGGTCGTAGATGTAGCTGTGATGGGGGACACAGATAGAAACAGTAATGAAGCTGGAATCTGAGATCCAAGGAGGAACCAAACATCTTAGAAACTTGGATTTCTTCCTGCTGCAAACAGAGGTTAAAATGATTAATGCTCAGTAACTTTCTAAACCTTCGTTAGAGGCGTGTCCCTTTATTGGGTTTTCTTTCAAGGACGTCTTGTGTGAGGCTTTATGGTGAGTCGCAGTCAGACCAGTCTGCTGCTTTTGTTTACGTTTTATTTGTTTTTTCTCCTCTCATCACTGGGTTCCTGACTCCAACTGGGCTCCTTCCATCTCACACCTCTCCAGGTACTCCCTACCTGCATCCTTCATTCTTCACACGTCGTCACATTCACGCTTTTCCCTTGTCTGAGCTTCCTCAGAACACAACTTCTGAGAATTAAGGAAACTTTTTTTTTTCTTCTGTTGCATCGACTGACTCTGGTTCCTCCCACCCACACACACACTCCCCCTCTGACTTAAGCACCTCTTAGCAACCCTGCATCTCAGCACAGAAAGCTGAGAAAATGAATGTTTTCCATTTCTTCAGCGCTGCTGTGGTGTCCTCTGCCTAAGGTGAAATCTGAAGCGTGTTTTTAAAGAAGCGGGAAGCTCACTTATGTGTTTAACTTAGAAAAAAAAAAAAAATAATACTTAGATGTGGATAAACAAGGCAGGAGAACCAAACTGTATTTTCATCAGCAACAGGAGGCCAGCGAGTTCATCGCAAAGCAATTTTCAAGAAGCCAAACAAACATGCCTGCTGGTGAGATTTTTTTTTGTTGGACAAACAGAAGAAGAAATAAGACATCTTCTTTCAGGTCTACACCAGGTTCAGCCTCTGATACGCAAATGGAGGCGACGTCAGAAGCAGAGATGCTAATCTGTGACAAAGGGAGTCCTTTATAAACTGATGCTCCAGGCCTCTCTCCATTTGGGATTAGAATAGGTCTTTTTATTGTGTTAAAAATGGGGAGTTATTGTGAAGGTGAGAATGAGACTAAATGAAGATGTTTGCTGGTTACTGATACTGACCAGTTGGATAGATGGGGGCGTGTCCTGCGCTGTCAGCATATAGTAAATAATGTTTTTGTCCATTTTGTATCACAGGAAAAGAAGTTTTCCTCAGACCAATAGTTGAGTTAAAGGCTACCAGAAGTTCTTAATGAATCAATTTCAGCTTAAGGAGCTAAAAAAAGCCTTAGTGAAGCTTTTAGAGCCTTATCAGAACTTTAAACATTACAATTCTTTTCCTGTGATACAAAACGGACAAAAACATGAGAACATTTTTTTGTATTTGCTGAATCTTGACACCAGTTAAACAGTTACTACACAGGCTTTGAAAGAACCGAACAAGGACCTGATAAGATATGGAAACACTGTCTTAAAGTCCCCAAAGGGGGCGCTGTAGCAGCAGGAAGGTATTCTTACACTGAACAAAGCAGCATTAAAAGGTTTTTCTTAAAAAGAAAAAACAGCAGTGAGGAGAATTGCAGCGAGTGTCACAGCTGGTCTCTTTGCTGAGTGCAACATCTGGACGCTGATAAGAGAAAGGAGAGAGTTTCCTTTCTTCAGTAATTCCACCATTATGATGCAGATCAGTAAATATAGAAACCAGAATGTAAATTAGCATGGCAGCTTATAACAATAAAACCCAAGGTGGACACCGCTGTGCACGATGGTGGCTGTGTCATGCTGCGAGGTTCCTATATTTAAGCATGGATAGGGATGACGCATGATGAAAGCAAATGGATTCCTGAGGATTAAATATAAAAGCTACATTACAGTTTATATGAGCCTTTGTGTACCTCAGTCATAAAATAAAATACATTTGTTGTTTCAGAAAATGAAAGGTTCGACTGTGCTGCAAATCCTGGATATTTCCAGTCCACCCCGCTGATCCAAAGAAATAAACTAAACGTTGGGTGTCTGCTACTAGCAGTAGGTCTGGGTTTATCCAGGCAGCACAGCTGAACACTTTCTGTTTTTTACCGGCTCCTCATGGCTGACCCACTAACCTAAGCCCTCAAACTCTGCTAATCCCAGAAATGTGACACTCCACACAATTAGGGAGGTATGTGTTTGTGTCACAAGCATTCATATGTGTGTGTGTGTGTTTTTTTGACAGGGGAAGAAAAAAGAAAACTTAAAAAAAAAAGTGTGACAAAAGAAAGGAGGGAGGGAGGGGTTTTACTACGCCGGAATGTGAAACACATTGAGCCCCTTCATTAATCTCCAATCAGGAAGTCGTTTCCTGCTCGCATCAAACGCAGCACAGACCTGACAGCGATGCATTGTACGCCTTTAATGAGCAGACGGTCCGGGACAGGAATACAGTAACCAAGGGTGCTGTCTATTGACATATTGACTCATGGTTTGCACTAAAAGCCCATGTGAGGCTCTCTGAGCAGACATGTTATAAATGGACCTTTCTCTCTGTCTGCCCAAGACAAGAAATCTATTTCACCGGAGAGGAAACTAACTGTGAGAGCTTGGAAAACAACCAAAGGTGTAGGTGTCATTAAAATCTGGGCTTTCAAGCTAAAAAATAAAACACATTTTAACATGTTTTGATCCTTAAATCCCATTAGATTTCCACGTTAACATAAAATTAGCCGTTTTGTTTGCATGTCCAGTGTCATACAATAAGTCGGCCTGTCTAAGTTCCCACTCTGCAAAAAAAATGTAAATCTTAGACATTTTTTCTTTAAATATCTGCATTTTTTCTTGAATTGAGGAGGTAAGTGAGACACTTTGCCAATGGAACAAGACAATTTACATATAAAATAAGAAAAAAACAATTGCATTGTCTTATTTGAAGTGCATTTTATCTAATTATCTTATTTTAAGAGTAAAAATACTCATTCCATTGGAAAATCCTCTTACTTATCTACACAAATTAGGGGTAAAAACACTGAATTTAAGTAATCTTTACATATTTCTAGATTGTTTTGCAGTGCATGCAGCTGCTGATTGTTCCCAAAGTGTCTCAGCTCTGCAGTCATGTGATTATTAGGAGGTTTTCTGACTCGGTCTGAGAGGAGCAGCCTGGAGCGCAGGAGGAAAAACGTAGAGCTGCTTTCTGCACAGAAGAACCCTAACACTTTATAGGGAAAGTTACTAGTTTTTATCACTTGCATGGGTCTAGAAGCACAATATGTATATCAAGTCACTCAGCAAAGACCCTGCTACATGGCTATACAGCTTATTTTGGCATTTGACCAATTAGATGAGCCCTTTAATGATATATTATCTACTGTGAATTAAGTTGGAAAACAAAAGTTAACAAGTCAAGAAAAAAAGGTAAAAAGCTAATAGAAAAAGTTAAAAAGTAAAGTAAAAAAGTTAATAAGCCTAGTTAACAATTATATTTCGGTTTATAAACTAAAAATTGAGGTGCCAGTATCAGCATTAATGCCTCTAAGGTTATTGTGTACCAAATAAAATGAGTTTCTTTCACTCTCAGTGTTTTTCATGAATTTCTTATAGAAGCACTTCTGTTATTTTTCTTAATATATTCGGGCGAGTTGGTGTTTCTTGTTATTGAATTTCTGCCATGAAAATGTCCATGTTTTTTGAATGTTACAAAGGTAATAAGGTCTTGTCCTGGATTCCAATAACACTATATGCAAATTTTGATTTTCAAAGTGTTTTACTGAGTGTCCTACGAAGGGTTAATAATGGGATCTGAATCCTTATTTATAAAGCTTATAAGATGTTTGTCTTTCTTCTAGAGCAGATACACTATCAGATAAAAATAATCCAACTAAGGAAGAATGTTAAAAGAAAAGGTTAAAGACATACATTAACACATTTTTTATTTTAGATTCTTTAGTTTTTGTTGTTTTCTGTTAAGTCTTAGTATAATAAGACCTGTCTTTGTTTATTTAATAAACCAATGAATAAATTTGTGGTAATCTATTGGACAGTGACAGGAAAATAGAGAACCAAAGAACTGCCAGGCTGAAAAAAACAAACAAACCAAACGTTAAAAGAGCACATTTAAAAAGCATTCTCACCTTTTTACCATCCGGCAGCATTGGCACCCCATTTGGCCAGATGTGTTGTTGTGCTGTGGAGACACATTAACAAACCCATTAAATATTAATCAGCCAAACATTCTTCAGGGTAAATGAGGTGAAGTTTCAAAACAAAGCGACCTAAACACCATGTCAGATTAGAACTCATCAGGAGAAGGTTAAGAATCATCTAATAATCAGTGATCTCTGAATTTTTCACTAGTTAAAAACAAACTGACCAGTTGCCAACATCGATGTTTGGTAACGAGGATGAAGACGGTGTTTAACTGCAGCTAAAGATGTTATTGCCATCGATCACCGCTGCATGTCTGTGTGTTTACTACCAACGTGCGGCCCTGGTCTCTCCTGATGGCGTGCTTCACACGGGGGCTTTGGCATTTCATTGCCTGGGTTAAATATTCATCACTGACTTTTGAAAAGGTTTGTGTCAAAGTGAAGTAGTGTAGAGGCTGAGGGAGGTGGAGGACGAAGTGTCTGACAATAAAGAAGAAATGAGCAGAACTGACAGAGAGCATCTGATCCACTTTATCTTAAACATCCTCATCCTTCTGTTAGCTTCATCTCTCTCTAAACTACAAATCCCAGCATGTCTCTAACATTTTAGGAACTGTTTCAGACTTTCTTGCAGTTTTTTTTCTGTCTCAAATCACTGAAACTCTCCAGCCACTCTGACAATTCTGCACTTTGTCCTTCAGCACCTCCTGTTTGGATGTTTGATCCCAGAAACAGACACTTCTCTCCTGCTGTTCATCCCCCTCCTCCTCTATGTGTCACATTGTTTTGGACAGAATATAATAAAAACGTCATTCTACTATTTCAAACTTCTACAGACTTCCAGTCTTTAAAAAATTAAAACTGATTATTGCACACATGGAACAGACCACAAACTGGACGCAAGGAAGGAAGGAAATAAAACAGGAAGGAAAAAAACGACACTAAGAAAGGAAATGGGGAAGGTGGGAAGGAAGGATGGAAATAAATAAAGAAGGAAGAAAAGAAAGCAGGAGAGAAGGGAATTAAAAAAGGAAGGAAGTAAGGAAATAAATGAGGAGAGGGTGAGGAAGTAAATAAAGAAGGGAGGAAGAAATGGAGGGAAGACGGGAAGAAATAAAGAGGTAAATGAAGAAAGTAAGAAGACTAAGAAGGAAAAAGGTAAGAGATAAAGGACATTAATAAAGAAAGAAGGAAGAAAGTACGGAAATAAAGGAGAGAAGGGAATACAAAAGGAAGGAATGAAACAACAAAGGAAGAAAGGAAATGCCGAAGAAAATAAAGAAAGATGAAAGAAAGGAAATAAAAGAAAATGAGAGGAAGAAAGGAAATAAAGAAGGAAGGAAGAAATTAAGGATGGAAGGAAAAAGGAGGAAAGAAAGGAAGAACAGAAGAAAGGAAAGACAAAGGTTGGAAAAGGGATGGAGGACGAAAGAATAAAGAGAAATGACAAAGAAAAAAGCGGGGAAAGAAAGAAGAATGAAGAAAGAGAAAAAGGAAGGAGTGATGAAAGGCTGAAGGAAGCAGGGAATGGTGGAAGGAAAGAAAGCAAGAACAGAGAACGGTAGAGAGAGTGAGAAATAGGAGAGGAAAGAGGATTGAAGGAAAAAAAGAAAGGGTAAAGGAGGGATGGACAAAAGAGGGCGGATGAAGGATTGAGGGATGGGAAAGAAAGAAGGGGGGAACGAAAGAGGAATGAAAGGAAGAAGCCGCATGATGCAACAAGCTACAGTCTAAATAAGTGGCCCTGCAGAGCACCCAGCCAGGCTGGAGGGTCCCGTATCTCCCAGGGATGGAACAGGAGAGGAGCTTTATTTCCCCAGAGCTCTTTGAGAACCGTCACATCAATAAAGCCTAGTGTTGCAGTCACAATCAGCCAAGTTTTACAATTACAGTTCACATTTGAGGGGATCAATAATCCTCTTAAGAGCTGCACCTCTCAGCCTGCTGGGTGTGCAGGTTTCTCCCTGCTCTTCATAACCGACTCTTCCTCTTGTTTTATTGTTTTGCAGCGCCATTTCTTTCCTAGTGCATTATGTATATCCCATATTTCACTGATATTTGTTTGCTGCTTTCTGCTCTGCACGACCTCAGGGGTGTTTTTAATGCGGCTGCCTCAAAGCCAGCTTAGCTGGATGCATTTGGGGAGCATCCACAGCCCACCATCCATCCAAATACACAGCTGTAGTAAAAAGAAAGTAGCTCCACCTTCAATCCGACACAAAATCCTACCAGGTTCTAAAATGATTGAAATCAGACTAAAAATAAAACCGTGTGAAAAGACTTCATTAAATCATAAGTTTAAACCCATTTACGTAAACAGCAGGTTAAAATTATGACTAAATACTATGCTGAAAAACCAGGTATTAGAAGAGAAAGAAATGTCTCTACTTAATTCTAATGATTTACGTAAAGTGGCTCTTAAAACACAAAAGCCTGTTAAAATAAAACATAACTTAATCCACTTTGGAAAAAAACTTCAACTCCATTTGAAGAAAAATAACCCCAGAGCATAATTGGACCACCACCGTGCTTCACTGTGGGGTTTTCTGTGATGTGTGGGCTTGTAGGGATGGAATCCGTAAACATTCGGACCTATTTGCAATATAATCACTATTTTAAAATGGCAGGGGCACACAGGTTTGGTAATGTTACACATAACAAGACTAAGAGGTTAATTTTTTCCTCACTCCAGTCCTTTAGGGTGGGTTTGCTGCCACACAGAAGGAAAGAGAAACATCCAGCTAGCATGCATCGCTATGCATGTCTTTCTAAATAAAGGTAACAATATATTCCTGCAACAATGGATTCTGGACAAGCAAGCTCTAATGATAAAGAAAAAAACTAAAACCTTTGAGTGTCACATGTGATTGTGGTTAGTGCAAAGAAAAATCAAATTAAAATGGCAACCGCAATACTGGTTGAAAATAATTTGGATTTAAGGCTAAATCGTTCAGCCCTATAACTCATAAAAATGACTCATTGGATTAAGTAAATTTTCATCCAACACATTTTTTCTAACTGAAACAAATCCACATTTATCTGTAAGGTGTAATTTTATTTAGTCTGTTCCACATCATTTTTAAAAATACATTTAAAAGGAAATTAATACATGCACCAAATTTGAATATGTTTGGTTGGTTCAACTAATTAAAATCTAATTCTGTTGATCTATATTTGTTCCTGCATTGAATTAAGTTATGTTCAACTAACTTACAACATTTAAATAACCCAATGACAAATGAATTGGTCGTATTTACTTTAAGTGACATGCATGGATGTTTGTTAACAAACATCCATGCATGTCACATGGTCAAAATTACCTCGACAAATATAGAGCTGCCTGTGATCTTGGCCTCAAGATGGTTTCATCTGTGTTTACATGGGCAACAACTTTAATATCTCTTTTAGATGTAGAATTATCTGCCATGCTAGCTCGTTCTCTGGCCAAAATGGCCCGACAATTTAATGAAGTGATCTTAGCAAGGGACAACTTCAACGAGCATTGCTAAGTAACCTAAAACTCGTGGGTTCACTTGAAAGACCAACCTTATAAACTCACAAAGCAGCCTTATATTGAACTCAATAATTTTAGGTAACTTTACATCTTACATAATTGAGTGCACCTGGTAAACAGCTTTGGTACTTGTACCTATTTTTCGGTAGCATGCTAACGTTATCTTAAATATCGGATTATGTATTTGGAGCGAGAGGCGAAGATGATTTGCCGTGCCTGCTTTTTTTATTTCACTGTAGCAGCAGCAGCGTTGGACATCATCACGCTATTGGCTTGCAATGCTAGGTTCATGTGTGGTATGGAAAATCCACCACTCTTCCATTCCCTTTGTCAAACTAGGTGTGTTTTCATCAACCATCAAACTGTGCAAATTATAATTACCTAAATAAATTCACTAAATGGAAACATTGGGATTTTGAATCAACTTTTTACACTTCGATGAGGTGGTTTGTATTGAAATCCTTTATTTCATAAAACTGCAATTGAAACAGTTTTTTAACAACACAAGAGTCCAGTAACTGGGCCTTACTGCCTTGTAAAAGGATGAAGACAACATCCGCTAATGTTGTTTTTAGAGTTATTGCGTTCACAAACATGTTCACTTGCTAACTTAATTGTATTTGTTTTGAATAGAAATACTGGAAATCTAAATCTTTGCATTTTCCAATTTAGCAAAATATGGACATAGTTTTGTGCATTTTTGTAATGGAAATGGAAATGTATGTCACTTTAAGGTAACGAAACATGGTACAATTTAATTTTAAGTGAAAAAATATATATTAGGACAGAAATCAGTCAGTAGCTTTAAAAGTACTGAAAATCTGTACCCTACTGGATAGGCTGTGGATAGATTATTTCTTGGTTCTAAACTTTGAACTCAGTTTGATTGCTTCCCATGAGGTTTGGAGTCATTTCAGTCCAGACAGAATCTAAATCCTTCCATCTTAAATCCTAACTATCTGGACCAGACGTGTGGAGGACATATGAGTTGAGGAGAAGCCTCCAGTTCCTGCTGCCTCATATTCTCCTAAATTAACCGCATTTCTAATCCTTTCTCCTGCCTGATACTTTCATACAATAAGATTATTTCAAACATTTCTATCTCTCCTCAATCTGAGGCTTTAAGTATGTAAACTGGGTGACCTTAAAGGTACTCAATGTTTATCTCCAATCAATCGCAAATGTGTTTTTTTTTCTGAAATATAAATTAAATGTTGAAAAATATGTTACTGCAAATATTCATTTTTAATTCATATGGCATATGCACTTTCTTAACTATGTGTTGTCCCTTTTTACTCCACTTTCTCATTAAATCCCACCTGTTTAATGTATTACAATCTTGTAATCATAAATTTAAGAGCTGCATTAACAGTTTCAGATGACCAATGTTATGCTTTCAAGTGTGCACTGGCTGGTAAAAGCCTTTGCTAGTGTCTAGGTAACTACACCCCTGTCTGCTGAAAATGTAATTCAGCATCTAAAATGCGAAATAGACTCTATTTGTTGAGCACACAGTGATAAAAT